AAGACGCCAAAACCATTGCCTTAGAATGTGGAGTAGACGTCGATTCGGATGAGTTCAACACTCTCTTGGACTATTTGCACGAYTTGAAAGTGATCATMTAYTTCCCCGAAACCAATATGATMATCATCGACACACAATGGCTACTTGACATGTTTGCCAAAGTGATAACTGTTCAACCCATCGAATGTCATCATAAGRAGTATGAAAGTGAATGGAGGAAACTAGAAGAGCATGGTATAATCAGCGTCAACTTTCTCAAACATTTATGGCGTGACCTGCTCGATGACCATTCATCATTCCAGTCGTTAATTGACATCATGGAAAAATTCTCACTCATCTGCAATTGGAAGCAATTAGATGGAGGCACGAGTTATCTTGTTCCAGCTATGTTAATGAACACAAGTGAAGAAAAAGCCAATGCTTTAGTAGCAGATAACTTGGCTCCGCCATTAGTCATAAGATTTGATTGCTCRCATTTGCCTTTCGCCATTTTCCCACGACTCTTAGTTCTCGTCGAAAAGATGTGCAACTCAAAATGGCCGTGTTCGTCTCCACCTCATCTCTCCAAAAACTTTGCAAGGTATGTTTCCTGAAGTTTTAATACAATTTCGATGTCGCAAATGGTTCGGACTTGTAGCTCGACCTTCAAAAGATTTAGTTTTTGGCTTTGAACCTTTTCTGTTATTCTCTAACACAGCAAAGTTTCTTTGAGAACTATCTTTATCATAAACTTTTGTATCTGCTTTTTTAGATTTTATATTGTTGATGACAAGTGTGCGTTCAGCCTGGTCTTAAAATCCGATTTGCAAACAATCAGAGTTGCACTGTTCAACGACAAAACAAAAAGCAATAATAGAAATGGCTTTTTCATCAACCTGTGCAAATGGCTAACGGAGTTTCTCGAGAGAACACTTCAGAAAATGATTGAGTCATTCCCTTGGATGAGAAGGTTGGAGCTTGAATTTGGCATCTGTTGTCCAGTTTGTAAAGACGTGGCACCTTGTAAAAAGCACAGCAAGAGAGCCTGTCCTCGAGACTCGTGTTTTCACTTTGTTTCCAAACGAGAACTGTTGAGCACAACTCAAACGCGTTGCAGCAGGAACCCTACAAAACTAAACAACGAAATTCCAGATTCCAGCTTCTCGCACTGGTTTAACAAAAAAGACAATAATGTAAGTTTTTAAAAAAAATTAGAAACTGGAACTTCCTGAAAGAAGTGGAATAGCTGATTATGTGTTTTACMTCATGGTTTTTGAATTCTTGTAGACTGTTGAAGTGAAGAAAGCACACGAGCAGCTTCAAGCCCTTTGTTTACCTTCAGAAGGTAAGCCTCAATTGAAAGCTTGACCTTTGAAAAGCCCTTGTGAATACAATTTCCAAATGTTGCTGTTTCAGAATATTTGTAAAAATAATTCCATTCATTAGCATAAGCGTTATTTGTTTTTCATTTAAAAATTTATATTGTACATTTATTGATACAGATGACGCTGTGTGCAAGGAAGTCATTGCTGCTTTCAATGAAATCTCCCTGAAGACTATTTCACAGGACGAGGTGGCTAGAACAGCTAAGAGAATCGCTGGTACATNATAACATGTTATTTTCACTAGTGAAAATAACACATTCGAGGTTTCTCTATATAGTGAAAGTAAGAAAAAAGCTATTTTACGACATAATTTGCTTTCGTATACAATTATATGATAAATAGAATATTACATGTTCGCTACGCTCACTCGTGAGAGATCTTTTCGACACTTGAAGATAAAATCCGTATCTTTGCGCGCCAGAAGTACATGGTTATGTACTTCTGACGCGCGCCCATGTAATATCCTCTATTTATCACATGATCGGCACCATGTGAGTTAGTGTTAAAAATTTTCTCCAATCTGGTAATTTTGACTGTTTACTGTCTTCTTTATTCGCTAATTAACAGTCGGAAARATGTTTTCATTATGAACATTTGTTTCTCTACAACACAGGTGTAGATTATTATCTTTTATATGACTAGGTCCTTTAAAGTTTGGACAAGATGTAACAGTAAGCGACATGGATGCGGAGACAAAATTACAGTTCTCTGAAGCATTGACAGGTGCGAGAGTACAGTAATAATGGTTTGAATGTCAGAATATCACTTGGGGAAGGGGATACTGACTGAGTGTCAAATGTTGCAAGTTTKTCAACACCTCCTTTGGATAGTGAATATGTCATAATGGTCTGTRGACTGAGAGCTTTGTATTCTGAAGATACTATTCTGCCCTTCATACTGTATTCTCTTTATCTTTGCAGCCAACGAAATGRAGTGGAAGGCTTTTGCTAAGGAGAAAGTAAAATTATCTCATTACAAGATCGAGTATTTGGATAAGAGAGAAAAAAATCCTGTTCTTGAAATATTGAATGAGTATTGCCGTGACTGGTCTGTGGAAGAGCTTTATGAGGCTGTTGCAGTCACTGGGGCGGCTGCKCTTGTAGATCATTTCCTTTAAATCAGTAACTTTTATAGATCTACRATACCAACTACATTGTAAATAGCGACGTAATGCTAATAACTCAGATAACTGCATCCCATGAAAACGTTATTTGGAGTACAGATAAACAATGATATTTTTAAAATGTTTCATGACTTGGTGTATAACAGAGTAGACAAGAATAAAGGAACCATACAATGGCTTCAAGACCTTTTAAAAAATATGCTTCCATCGTGTTTAGCTATCTTCCCTTTAGTCAGATTGTACTCTTTACAGGGGCGGATCCAGGATTTTTTTTAGGGGGGTGATGTTTTTTTTAGAGAGAGCTAACATTTAGAAGTAAATAAGATTCATATACATTACCAAGACTAATTACGTGTATCCTCGTTTTTTTTACCCAATAATTTATTATTTCCTAAGTTTGCATTATCATTTCATTCGAKAAAAGGGGGTGACAAGTCACCCAATTAAGCGGTACAGACGCTCTCAATGGGCTCCCTGTGTCTCAAATTTCTGCAATGTCGGGCATTCTCCGAAATTCGCGGGGGGTTCAAAGCTTTTCCTTTATATATATTTTAAGAAGAAAAGCCTCCTAAAAAGTCGAATTACAATGTAGAGTTAAATTCTCTTCGAYGTGTTTATAAATGGGCAACCTGAAGGTTGTTTTGGCTGGTAAACACAAGCCATAGAAACGTGGCAAGGGCTGAAATTTCTTCACAATCTTCGTTGAGTAACTGCTTAGGTCGACAAAGGAGTTTACAAAGGTAGGTTATTCTTTATAGTGGAAGATACATTTGTTCTTTAACATCATCATACATATATTGTAGATATAACTATATTGTATACAGTTCTAATATGTGAATATATTGTCAATGATCAGCTCGTATAGSATGTATACTTTTGCCAAGACTATCTGAGACATTTGATTCCCCAGACTCTATTCGCAAGGGCATTATGTCTTCGCGATGTTCAACATTTAAAAACGGCTGCAAATGAGTCTATATTACTCTGCAAATCTACAAAGAAATGTATCATTTGGTTCATTTAATTTCATCSCATTTTTGATYTGAGCCCTCTTGTTGTTCGAGGAAATWTAATTCGACTTCGRTTCTTCAAGATGTAATTAAAGCGATCAGTTACTGATGTAAATCATCAGTTTACTTCTTGAATAGAGGCTAGAGCTTGCCAAAGACCGAAAAGAGRMGTTAAGTAACTTGAAGTAAGCTGGACAAASATACAGTTAKTAAAAGAGTAAGGAATACTCTGTATTTTGTGAAAGTTAAAGCTGTACAAAATTTGTTTTGGTAACTTTAAAAAGCTACTGAGGTGTAACCGAAAGGGAGAAGCCATGTACTTCGATTTAAACATCAATTTAGGTTCCTTGAAATGTATATATATTTTTTTATTCTATGATTTTAAATCTATATTACAAAAGTTAGATTTAAACAGCGCCCAAAATATGTTTCATGAAATGATGAAAATTTTACCAAATTATGCTTAACAATGAAAACATAGAAGATGCCCCCCCTCCCCCCATTCAAGATAACTTAAGGCTTAAGGTAACTAAAGGTCAATTGTATAAACGACAGCCAAAAACCATAATCTATTTCGTTAAAACGTCCATGTACGTCTGTGCCCCCCTTCCCCCTCCCCGCTCCGATGAATGGCGTGACTACCGTAATGTCGTACGGCTTCTTGTCACCCAGATCCTTTTCAGTTTCCCAAAAGAAAATTGATGGAGTCTTAGCGCACAAGAATGATATATCATGCACACAAAAGAAGAGTGCAACTTAGCCTCCTTCGCAGGCTACTCCATCGGAAACGGACATTTTTCTCTTCTTGGTCTTCCTGTGTTCATATTCTTGACCGAGAAGAACTGGTGTCGAGAGATTAGGAATTAACGAATAACCCCTCCTCCTCCGGCAGCAACCTCGTTCCCAGAGCTACTCTGCTCGCTTTTTTCAAAATGGCGGACAGAGATATCTCTGGGCGCAGAGTAGCCCTGGGAACGAGGTTGCTCCGGCAGCTTTTTTGCCTTAACACAGGAATCCCACGGAGTAGAGTTGCCTGCGAAGGAGGCTAAGTGCAACTCGTGTATAGCTTTTTCAGAAAAGATTGTCAGAGCCTAATGTCGATTGTACAACCAAAGATTATTATGGGTATTCAATTTTTAAAGTTTTTTTTTAATATTCATCAAAATATTTTCTGATGTGCTTAAGCAGAAAGAGATTATCTGTGTATTTTATGCATGTATCATTCAAAAAGCAATGAAGTGCGACAGTCGAGCTTGTGTGACTTGTCAAAGTTGCATAAATTTATATCAAGCGAAGACTGAGCATTTGGTGTATAGCATCAATTTGTAAAAATAATTTTCTACCAAGATTGGAATGCAAAGCCTACAAAAATTACAGCAACTATTAGATAAAGGATTGAGCTATTAATACAAGGAGAAATCTCTGGAACCATTTTGAAGAGACTTTTTGAGATTTTTAACAGGCCGTACAATTTTAGGTTTTCTTCATCTCCAGTGAAAATATTGTAATTCTTTCAATTTGAAAGTTAAAGAACAAAAATTTGCACACACTTATTTTGACAAATTGATGTACAGCATATCGCAGTTGTTTATTTATTTCTATACAGCTGTTTATTCTATGTACTAGGTTATATTTTGGGCTCATTTTTGAGCTCAGCTCATATCTTTATTTCTGCTTGAGTTTTTCCAACCATATTTACCGCCCTTATGCAGTTTGATGAGATATACAAATTCTGAAAATTTCAATTAAGATGATCCGACTGTTATAGTCGAAAACTAAAATTACCACTTATTAAAAATGCGCTGTATCTTTAAAACCAGCCAATAAATTACTGAATACTGACAGCTTACAAAAACTGTTATAATGAATGCATGTTGTATCAAAATTTCAGCACGTTTGCCTAAATCCTTTTGCGAAGYGAGCGAGTTAAAAAAAGAACAAAAAAAAAATTTCATTAGTTGTGATTCCTCTTTAAAACATGGACAAACCATCATTAAAGATCGTCTTTTATTGGTAGCATTGACTGCCTCTTTCATTTATTGGTAGCGTTGATGACTGCCTCTTTCAGTCGTGCATTTGCCTTTCTCTCTGACAACCTTTTTTGAAATAGCTATGTAACCCTACTAAGAGAGTAAGGATCATTTGGGTGGATGTAGCCCTGAGAAAGACTTGTTGATGTGATAAACGTTTTAACAACCTGTGTGGTAGTCATCTTCAGAGTTAAGAATAGAGTCAGATCAATAATGTACGGTAGAGATTTAAATTAAAATAAATTATTTGGAATCTTTTATGGTGTTCAAATTGAAGTTTGGTAAATTATAACTTTGTCAGTATCTCTGAGAGACTCGAAAGAGGAACTTTCCCATTCACCGATAATCAGATATAATGTGAATATACTGCTATGTAAATAAAGAGAAACATTTCTAATCCAGCAGATGGAGCGAGTCAATATATTTTTAAAGAGGATAAATATATGTAGATATGTAGTCTGTCTGAATAAAACAGAACATAATATCACGAAAAATATATGCAAATAGATGAGTTTCCAAAAAGGGGGAGCACCAGCCCCCTTGAACACCGTCCCTGAATAAACAGCAACCACAGAAACGTGAAAAGATATTTACGAGTACCTCAATTCTTCTAATACTGAATTATTATAATTTTTTGCCTAAAGATATACAGGTATAATGGTACGGACAAACGAAAAGATGAACTTCTTCAAGCTGTCTCTCATCATCTATGTCAACGCTACTGAAGGTCTTCGAAAGATTTTCAAGATTCAATGGGATGCTTGGTTCACAGGTACGCATGGTCAGTGGGATGACACGCCTAACAGTTATAAAAGATTTTATGACATGGTGTCGCCAAGGAGTCGGGTAAAACAGATACGGCTTCTGAACATGATGTCAAGTGGAAACCGACAAGAGTGGGATTTCACTTGTCTATCATTTGCAATACTTCACTCGGGCAGCGTGGCAGGAAAATTATCGCCTTTGGTCAAAGAAAGCGTCGATATATTACGAGTATGCCGCAATAAATTGACACACAATACAATGGGACAGATAAGTGAAACTGAGTTTCAATTGTCTATGCAAAATATCAAGTTCGCATTTTCGTCTTTAAAGCTTGATATTGCAATAATTGAACAGATAGGAATATCGAAATGTTTACTCAGAAAAGAAATTGGGTACGTATTAGAAATATTGAAAAAAAAAAACGAAACGCGGAACCAAACTCTTTTTGTATACTTCCTCCACGTCCCATGAATAACACCATACACAGAAAAGAAGAGTTTGACAAGATATATCGAACGATGCAACAGTTATCAAGTAAAAACGAGGGAAAAACGACAGTCGTCTACTTGACTGGGGTTCCAGGTTGTGGGAAAAGCGAGATGGCAAGACAAATTGGAGAGATGTGTTACCATAGTACCACAGATACAAAGTTTGTGATGACGCTTGATGCCTCTAGCTTGGACAACTTACTACATTCATACATAACATTTGCAGAGAAACTGAACTGTTATCCTGATTCCGTAACGATGATTAYTACATCAAAAGATCTTTCCAAGGAAGAACAAATCCTCCAATTAAAGGCTCTTGCCAGTAAACAGGTAACCAAGTACTCGAAATGGTGGATCATTGCTGACAATGTAACTGATTTAAACATCTTCTCCCAATACTGCACACAAGGTGGAGAAAAGACTGGTGGTGAGGGCCAGATTCTTGTTACCACGCAAGACAGTGCCTCTATTCCTATTAACCCAGAATGTTGCCATGTTTCACTCAGTTCTGGTATGACAGATGAAGACGCCATTGAACTACTTTCCGCAGAAGGACATAGAGATGTAGAAAACCATGTTATGTCAATGACTGCTGCAGTGAATATAGCTGTCCAGAGAGAGATTACTGAAGAAATTATGCTGCATGCATTACGCTTCCTATTTATATCTGGATCAGGTCCCATCCCTTTAGAGCACGTGGTGGAGTACGTAGCTAAGTACCTGCCTGACGAAGACAAAAATCTCATTGCTTTGAAAATTTGTTCGTCGTCGCCATTTGTACGGACATTGGACCTAGATTTAAAGAGCATTAGTATACAAAAAGGGATTTATC